CCTTTCCTTTACACAATTAACTATTATTATTATTTTTAGTGTCTATGTGGCTAGCAGGTACGTTTGCACTCTTCAAAATCGCCGTAAAAGATCGGGGGAACGTGTTCTTTTCTCGCAACATTATTCCTTCTCTTATATTATATTAGTTCACAATCTTTAAAAATGCTAAATAAATTCTATTACTAGTTCTCGGCCCCTCTCCCGATACGTTTGTTTCAAATTCACCGAAAATATCGTTCTCGCGACATCTGTCGTTTCACTCTCAGCTTTCCGCTGACTGTTAACAGACACGATTTGCGATATGTCGCGGGGGATTGCATAAAATTTTTCGAAAATTTCGAACAACGTGCCTTGATCTCTAAAGTTTTCAACCCCGGCTCGTCCCGGGACGCATGATCGATAAACGCGCGTAAAAATTCACACCGACATTCGAAACGATGGAACCTGAACCCCGCGGATAAACGCGCAAATATCTTTATGTAAAATCACGAAGACATATAATATAATATTAATATTTCCTTTTAATATACATACATATTTATATCTTATATATAAGAAAAGAAACGGAGGAAAATAGCTCTCCGTTCCTCGAAGCCTCAATTAACGCGTGTACCCGGTCGGCTATCGTCCCGAACGACAATTCGTAGGATAAAAAGCGTCGCATGGACTAACCAGGGGGGAAAATCGTGAAGCAGGGAAAAAGAGAGAGATCGAAAACGAGAAAAAAAGCACGTTTCCACGATCCAACAGCAAGGGTCACTCTCTGAGCAATTTTCGAAGAAATGTCTTTGTCGAGAGAAGGCCTAGAGATATTTTCTAGTCGATCGAAGGGAGAAACATATACATATATGTATATATATATATATGTATATCTATGGTGAAAAACGAAAAAGATACGGGAAAATAAAACTAAATAAAAGAACAGGAAAAAGGGAAAGGAAGGAAAAAGCGTGTAGTACAAGGAGAACCAACCCTAGTAAAAGGCGTCCCTTGTATTTTGAGCTACATGTTCGGATAAATATTAAGAAAGAAAGAAAAAACAGGAAAGTTAGTCGTTCTTTTCTAACTAATGGACAGTCTAAACGCATCGGACTAAATTCGGCTAAAATAACGCTCGGTTAAATCTGCAACTATGATTCCTCTTTCTTCCTTTTCCTTTCTCTCGATCCACCTTCCCTTCTCTCATAATTTGGCACAATATAAAGAACTCACAGGTCGGACACACGAGCAAAAGTCGAGAAAAAAGAAAGCAGAGAGCTGCTATAAAACGGGGATTCGCTATTTTATTATTTAGCGTGACGAGAAGGCTACCGTCTTGTGAAGGCGAAATCTATTGCGAGGTATGTATATTATACATAATGCTACATATATATATATAGATAGATATATATATATAGTTGAGTTTCATTTCGTCGCATCAAACTAATGAATTTCTCATCTTCGTTAAAAGCGGAAGAACTTCAAAATCGTGGCCGATATAATGCTACACTATTCTTTTTCTCTTTTTTGTCTGTCGTCCTATTTCGTTATTCGATCAGTGGCAATTCGCGCATACGCAATGCTTACGCGTGTCCAATTCAAAACGCGCGCCCAATTTAAAACGCGCGCTCAATTCAAAACGCGAGCCCAATTCAAAACGCGAGCCCAATTCAAAACGCGAGCCCCCTTCGACGAAATTTTGACGCGCAGAGGAAGAGGAACGTTATATTTTCTTCTTCTTTACTCCATTCCCTGATTCTCTCTTATGTACACGTAAAATACATGTTGTCGTGCGAAAAGATTCCCAGAGACCAAATTTGCTTTTTACTTTTCTTAATACGGTTAAAAATTAAGGCGCCTCTTATTATTATCCTGAGTATGCGAACAACGTTGTTTTCGTTAATTAATCCACTTCGTTCGTTTATAAAAAACATTTCCTCCATGTTTTATTTTCTTCTTCTCCCTCGATTCTAATGTTTGTTAGTCTTCTTGTCTTGTTATTGTGTTTCTACCCGGTAATAATATAATATAATAATAGTTCCTGTAATCGCGTAAATCTTTTCTTTTTAATAATTATCGTCATTGCGATCGCAGGGTTAAACGTATAAAAAATCTGTCAAAAATAGAACGGGAGCTACGCCTAGAAAATGTCGCGGGTGTAAGAAGGTCGAAACTGTGATTCGATTTGTAAGGCCTTTGTGCATATTTCGTTCGGTATTCAAATATTATCTCGTTTTCCTACGATGAGTCGCTAGTCATATTTCCCTACATAAAAACTTTCTTTTCTTTTTCTTTTATCTTTTATTTTTCGACGAGTGAAGCCACGTCGTCGGTCATTATGTATGTAAAGCGTACAGGTAAAAATGTTTTCTTCAACTATCTTTACAGATAGATTTTCATAAAACTAGACTTCAACGTTTATCGTACTCGTTCCGATACTCATTTCGAGAAATCTCTTTTGAAAGACACGCGAATGATCTCGTATGTCTTTCATACTCGGAGCAACAATTAAAAAGAACACGATTGAACCGCTGGAGAACGAAAGAAACAAGGGATTTCCAGTCAAGTCCCTTCGACTACTCTTTGAAACGAACTCCTCGACGTTATTGAATCCACACCACCCTCCTCTACTTTAATATACGCCAGCCGAAAAAAATGCGTTACACCCGTGGTTCCGAACTGCATTATTACTGCGATTAATATGTACCTATATAAATTTGAAGCACTTGGGTTGCGATTCAGGTTTCAGGTCGTATCGTCGATTAGTCTTTAATTAACCTGTATTCGTATGCGTGTATAGATGATTGCCGCGTGTCTCGTATGCGATCTGTCCGTACATGTATATGCGCTATTTGCACGGTATTATTAGGTGTGGTGTATAAAATGTATATGTGTATATGCGTGCGTATACACGCGTTTTAGCGATCGTATATTACAACGCCGAGTGAGGAATGACGAATACGTCGAAACATTATTTCCGGATGCACGTGCGCACGCTTTCGGACGTAGATTCCCAGAGAGGCCGATCTCTTTACGTCTTTGCATTTCGTACGCGTCCGTCCTGTATCGGTCAATCAGTTCTAACCGCTCGAGTCCCTCCCGACCACGCTGTCATCGCGACTTTTTAATCCCTCTTTAATTTTCGTCCGGCATTGTAGAGAGAGCGTGCGTTCTTCTCACTGGTAGCCCTCTCTCCTCTCCGAGTATATCCGTTCACGATATTAACTCGTTCGTAATCGCGCGTGTATACACACGCGTAATGCATAATACGTACGCGAAGGTGTGGTCATTAGAATATTTGCGTGTAATACAAATTGTGTATGTTTGTAATATGTATGGGAGAGGGAGTATATGTATATATGGTACGCGTGTGTATATCGTGTGTACATAAAGGTACGTATGCATGTACGTATATGTGAAAAAAGCTTATCTATCGAAAGATTGTTTCTTCCGGTCGTTGCTATAACTTCTCCGTTTACCGTTTCTTATTTCTTTATATTTTTTTCTTTTTTTTATCATTTTCTATTTCTTTCAATATAGCCCGTAAAAAGTATGTATATAAACGAATACTGTTACCTACAATTGTAATGAACACATTATTTTGCCTTTTCTATATTTTCTTTTATCTCCCCTCGCGAGGGCACTGCACTCGCTCCTCTCTCTATAAACACGTCTTCCGGTATATTTCCGCGATCGGCCGCGACAACGACGTATTTTTTTCTTTCTCTCATGCGCGTCCGTATATTACTAATATTTTAATCCTCCTGATTTCTTTCGATTTTCTTTTCTTCTCTGTTAATTACAGTATACATAGACATATATTTATATATATTTTTTCATCGTAATATATAATATAATATAATCCCTACCATAATATATTTTTTTCTCATCTCTGTTGCCGATCATCTAAATCTAAATCGTCACCAAACAACGTAATCTAATTATATAGATCGCGCGTCCGCAATCAATTGAACATTACACGAACGATCCAGTTTCTCATCGTCCGTGTGATAAAATATCCATCTTTCCTTTTTCTTCCTCTCTAAAACTCCGTCGTTATTATTATCATCATCATCTGATATATTATATATATTTATATATCGTAGCAGTGAATTACCAGGAAAAACTCGTTAACTAAAACTCGTAACAATTATAATTATAATAGTTATAATGGTGATAATGAAACATATTAATAATAATAATAATAATAATAGTAATAGTAGTAATAGTAGTAGTAATAGTAGCAATAGTAGTAGTAGTAGTAGTAGTAGTAGTAGTAGTAGTAGTAGTAGTAGTAGTAGTAGTAGTAGTAGTAGTAGTAGTAGTAGTAGTAGTAGTAGTAGTAGTAGTAGTAGTAGTAGTAGTAGTAGTAGTAGTAGTAGTAGTAGTAGTAGTAGTAGTAGTAGTAGTAGTAGTAGTAGTAGTAGTAGTAGTAGTAGTAGTAGTAGTAGTAGTAGTAGTAGTAGTAGTAGTAGTAGTAGTAGTAGTAGTAGTAGTAGTAGTAGTAGTAGTAGTAGTAGTAGTAGTAGTAGTAGTAGTAGTAGTAGTAGTAGTAGTAGTAGTAGTAGTAGTAGTAGTAGTAGTAGTAGTAGTAGTAGTAGTAGTAGTAGTAGTAGTAGTAGTAGTAGTAGTAGTAGTAGTAGTAGTAGTAGTAGTAGTAGTAGTAGTAGTAGTAGTAGTAGTAGTAGTAGTAGTAGTAGTAGTAGTAGTAGTAGTAGTAGTAGTAGTAGTAGTAGTAGTAGTAGTAGTAGTAGTAGTAGTAGTAGTAGTAGTAGTAGTAGTAGTAGTAGTAGTAGTAGTAGTAGTAGTAGTAGTAATAGTAGTAGTAGTAGTAGTAGTAGCAATAGTATTAGTTTTGTGGTAGCAGTAGTAGTAGTAGTAGTAGTAGTAGTAATAATAATAATGGTAATAATAATAATAATAATAATAATAATAATAATAATAATAATAATTGGTAGTAGTATTATTCTTCTCCCACCCAAGTTTGTCCCTCCCTCTCGATCTATTTTTCTTTCTCTCTACCCTTACATACTTACACGCTTCAGCGTCTATAATTTGCAATGTACATGCATACATGGCTATGTATTATTTATGCATGTTTATATATTGTCCTATATATGTATGTACATTATTTACACGCGTTTAAAAAGCGTATTCCGCACGAATCTTAATCAGATAAAAAAGATTTCCTTCTTGTTATAAAACCGTGTGTTGCCGTTCAGCATCCACCTTAACGAACGTGTACCGTGTACGAAGGAAAACAAAAAGTCCTAAATACAAAAAAAAATGAAAACATGCTAATCGAGGTTAGTTTTCTCTTCAACCTTTACAATCTCTTGGTAGCGCGAGATCTGACGTCTCTTCCTTTCCAACTCGACGTTTCTCAGCCGTAGAAAAGCTTCGAAACCGAGCACAGATATCGGATCGATCGTTTGTATTATAAAAACGAGAAATGATAGAAAATAAGAAAGTGAACAATTCGATCCTTAGTCTCGAGTTTTCAGCGCCCTGTCTACTTCTTTCTTGGATAAGCTAGATACCGATGATCGTTTAACAACAAAATAACGATCTACCACGAAGGTAATATTCTTTCGTGTCTCTTATTGCACCAGTTTAAAGAGTTCTACACACTCGCATATAAAAACTGAACACACGTGAATAGGCGCTCATCCACGAAGATCGGTGTGCTTCGTCGATCTTCGTGGCGTATTTATCTGCGCGAAATATCGGCGGAAAGAAGGAAACAGAGGCGCGAAGAAAAGAATGAAAACTACCATTTACGAGATTTTTGTCGCGTTTGTATCCGTTTTGCGCCATAACCGGATTAGAAGAACGAGGAAGAAGGTAGACAAAAGACAGACAGGACTTCGACTCCAAACCCGAATTTCGCTAATATCGTTACGCGTACCGAAATGATCCGAAATGAAGATGCATCTGATGTATTCGTAACAAAAACGGAATATATGTGTGTGTGTGTAAGGTACCCGGACTAAATTTCTAATATTATCTCTTTGTAGTATGCGTGTATGTCTATGACTTTCTCTCTGTGCCCTACGGTACATACATAACGCGTATGTACTAGGTGCAAACTGTCTCTACCTACACGTTTTGTGACTCATACGATCTTTCACCTACTTGCAAGATTACCAGAATACAATCACTCTACTATAGAACGCGTTTAGATTCATGCTAGCGAAGGCGTGAAACGTCGAAAAACGTAAAGATCGCACAGCGATCATCAATCGATCGGTAAGTAACTACTATTAGCGACGCTGTTAAAAAAAAAAAAAAAAAACAACGCGAGATTGCAATGGAGAAAACAATGGAATTCGATAAGGAAGATATTTGTGAATAGGTATTGTTAACAGACCAGTCATCTATGGTTTTTCTTTTTCCATGTTGAATGGCATTGTCGAACACGCGTTTCCTACCCGTAACGCGAAACACGCCTCTCTTTGGAACACGTTCATCGGGATTTCGGGATCTCGACGGTTTTGCTCGATCATATGAGATAATATTAATGAGACTTGCTATAATTTCTACCTTGAAATCTTTCAAATTACGTGAAATTGCGAGGATTGCGAGGAATATAACAGTTCTGAAGTCACACGCGTAATTCGTGCCTTGCACTCGTTCAATTACCAAAACTCGTACGATAATGCGTGAATCTGTACGAATTTCGTTTCGATCGAATGACAATACCAGTACCGTAATTATAAGGCGAATATCTTGTACAAGTTTAAATGGCAACCTGTCAAACTACAGGTTTATCTCGACTATTTCATACAAAATCGCTGATGTAAAAAGCAAGCAGCATCACGAGCAGCTATTTCTTTCGTATCTTTATTGCGATTTATCGATACGAGTTTTGGAAAAAGAATCTGCGTGTGCTTCCCACTCTTCTTTCTTTTCTATATTATTCTTTTTCTCGTTCATTTCCTAAAAATGAAAGATATACCTAGAAACCGGTTCAGCTTTGAAATGCGTCCTAAGACCAGTTAGTTCGGAACCGGTGCAACTAACGTCGGATAACGTTCGATAATAAGCCTCGTTTTCCTCCGTCGTACATGGATTTCGCATCGCAGAACGAAATTCCAAACAACGACGAGATATCGAACGATTCGAGGCCGATTCCAAATCCAATACAGTCGAGACTATTATTAATAACAATCGTAGAGTCTTGTTCATTTTTGGCTTTCTCTCGTCGGATTTGTCTCGACTCGCCTAAATGCATGTTTTACGTGAAAAAGAAAAGCTCGTGTGTATACGAGCGTGTTATACAAAACGTGCAGAAACGCGTAAAAAATGCGTGATAAATAGCGGACTGCGGTGTCGTTCGATCTCGTCGAACGTTTCGAATATCTTCATGAACTTAAAACATTTTCTCTAAAATATATATAACATTCCCCAGCTCGGAAACCGGTCTTAGTCTATAACGCGTTAAGATGACACTGATCGAGAATTCGAAGGATTAAAAATGGAATTGACGCTATTCGCGACGATTCAGCCTCGTAAATCGTGAATTTTTCTTAATGTAACATGTATGTGTATTAACAAAAAAAGAGAGAAAAAAACAAAAAACTGAAGATCTATTGTCGATAACGTTTTCTCTCTAAACTAGCTAAACTCAATTTTGCGTTCTCATAGATAACTTCGTGAATTTGGCCAAAGCAATCTACGATCAATTCTCCGCCTCTCTTTATTAACTCGCCATTCGAAGTATCTTTTCTATAAATATACCTATACGTATAAATATTCTTTTCGAAGCTGTTTGCGTCGGTTCTTTCGATTTCTTCCAGCACTCGATGCCGATTCGACGCGAACGGTATTCCTTCTTTGTTCTCGATACGCATTCACCCTTGATCCACCCTTCGATTCTCCCTTCGGCCTAACTTTCTCTTTGTTCTTACGCAAGTGTCTATACACATATATACTTGTTTCTTCTATGGTAAAACAGATTTTAAAAGATTCGGTTTTCCCATATCCGCCCAAGTGAATCACAGAACCACAACACAGTATTTTTTCTCTTTTCTCTTGACCAGGACCAGGCTCTTCTATGTCTCTTCAAACAGCGCACTTCTGACTCTCCGAAACACGTTGTTTGAAGTGCCTTCTTCCCACTCGTCTGTCGCGCGACCGAAAGTGAATACCCAGATCGAAACGGACAAGGCAGGCGGTCTTTATCATTCGCGTAAAGGCATTTATTTTCGATAATCGCGTCTGATCTCGAAACGCCGAGTGAAGATTTGTCATTGATCCACCAGGGTAACAAGTTCGATTCTACAACGTTCCGAGCAAGGTATTATCTTTGTCGTGTTGGAGTAAATCCGACACGGTCAGAGTCTCTCCCTTAGCGCGTCATGGCGAGACTCCTCCTTAGATAACTGAGCGACGCTCGAAGTTTCTCCTGTTGCCGCCTCAAATCCGCCACCTTGGCTGCATTGCCCATTTCCTTCGAGGTCAACGAAGCAAGATATGCAGACGCTTGCCTGAGAATCGCGACTTTCGGTGCCTTCTCCTTTTTCTCAACAGCTGGCACGAGAATGCGTAACTCTTCGAACGCATTTCGTAACTCTATCCGCCTTTGACGTTCCATGTTGTTATGCTCTCTCCTCTTCTCAGTGTCTAATTCATCGTCGGAGGAACTTCTTGATGTGGTTGATCTCATCGAAGGTGAAGATGATACGGACGAAGACGATACGGACGAAGACGATACGGACGTAGACGACATGGTGCGTCCTACCTTGTTTCTCCTCTGACAGGTCCTGTGACGAGCTCGTTTCGCTGGCCTTTGCTCGACCTGGGCAGCTCTTTTCCGTGCTGGATTCGAGGGCGGTCGACCACGAGGTCTCGAACCTGGTGGTTTCTCTTTGAACGCGGTGTTAACTGTTAATTGAAAGTGTTGCTGGTCGGCCAAACTTGGATTCGTTGGTAAAACCGCTGGTCTGCACGGTTTGTCGAAGCTTACCACATCGATCTCTTCCTCCTCTGTAACAGGCAGAAGAAAAAGAAATTTTATGGTTATTCAGACGAACGTAACTTGTCCAAATAATCGAAACGAGATATTTAGATTAAGTATATCAGATACGTTGAAACTGACGATTCAAACTGTTGGGACGAACGAATATTTCTCATCTAAAATCTATTCGTATTCTAGTCTATTGTAGTCATATTGTAGCTTCATACGATAAACTATTTAGATGTAGATACTAAAACATAAATTGTTACAATTGGTCTTTTCCATCGTTTCCTCGTAAAATCAAAGTCCATATAGCTACTATTGACTGCTTCGACGTTCTAACTGCGAAGTCTGTTATTATTAGGTTCTTTCGTTTCATAAGGTGATAATAGATGAACAATCATTTGTTTTATATTATTTTATTGAATTACATATGATCGATTTCGTTCTATTTCTATTATTATTATTTCTATTGATTCAATAAACTAATATAAAACAAAAAACATTGTGCTTGTATTAATTCCTTATAAAACGAAAGAAACATTTCAGACAACCTAATACCTAATACGATAATAGATTAATAGACTTATGTTAACAATTAATAGGTTACTAGTCAAATACATATACCACAAAGGATATAACCTAACAAACACGAAGATGGTACCCCGCTGGAGGTAGCCACCCACATGTTATATTATTATACCCACTAAGCTATAATATTTTACCAAATGTCCTACTGGACAAATTGTAAAATTTAAATAAATAAATAAATAAAAAAATACATATACTATTCGCAAGAAATCTTCTACTTAGAATGCAGTATAAAAAGAGACAATCCCATTTCTCCCTATTCGAATTAAGCCTGAGTGCAATCAGGGATCAAGGCGATTTACCGAAGGACAGTGTCACCCGCACGAGTTGCAAAGATGCTGCGAGATACGCCGATAGTATTTTTTCTTTAGAGAAGCAGTTAGCGTTCGCGGACAGCCGTGAAACGTCGCTAATTAGTCGGGACGGAACAAGCTCGGCTCTGTTTTCACCTCGGCAATCCTATATTCAGGGTGAAGGCTGACTGCGGACAACGGAAAGAGATCGTGTCACGTGAGAGTGAGCTAACTTCGAATCGACCCTGAACCCAAACCGGATGCCATCGATATCGTTTATCTCGAGAGATTCCCTGCCGGTTACGAGCCAGACTAAATAGACTATGGTCTATCTTTGCCACGATAGAAGACGTTGCGTACGAGCCGCCAGAGAACCGAGTAAAATAGGATTATGTGGGTCAGAAAAATATTCCAGTCGAGCTATGTAATTTATTTTGTTATTTGCCAAATTTTTTAGGAACAGTTTTTAAGCAATCTGCGTATAAAGATATTTACATCGTTATTAGTGGCGCGACAAACAGCTCGACGACCATTCTACGAAGATATAACTTCCCATTAAAAGAAAAATTCCATTGATGTTAATATCCTCAGTTGTAATTATCATAAATCAGTAGCGTGATAGCGATTCGAATTATCTTCTCGTTTAGATATCTTTTCTTGCTATGTCTCAAGTACACGATATTCTCTCGTTTTTTCGTTGTCTAACTAACGGAGTCTCGTAATGTACGTATAAGTTTCATTATTCTGTGCAAAGTACAAGAAGGAATCTTAAGATATCGAAGTTTTGGTGAGGGTTCTAACGATCCTACCCTACTAGAGGAGAAAAAAAGGAAGATCAATATGGTAACGGTTATCCTTTGAAAGCACGTGGCCACAGTTGCGGAGGCGTTCGAAGGGACATACGACACCGTGGGCGTTTCTGCAAACTGTGTCATCCATAGCGTCTGGCACAATCGGTGGAAATCCGGTTGGTCCAGATTCCTCTCTACCGCGGATACGGATCGTAACTCTTTCCTCAAGGACAACGTTCGGGATACAATCGCTCAATGTCGACGCGCGTTTCACGACAGGAAGCCTTTCTCTTCGTATATCGGTCTCTCTCTATCTGTCTGTCTGTATAGCGGTTCGATTACGTGCGGTCGATTTACGGATAAATTTCGTTCCGCAACAGCTCGTTCATAAAACGAACCATTAACCGGGCAATGCTCGTAAATACATTTATAATTGAATTCCGGACAACATCGGCGTGGTAAACCGTATTTTGCGACATTTGATAAATTCCCGGTGTGTATCGTTCGATGCCGAATAAACATGTATTAGTGGCGAGGTTAGTGTAACAAATGGCGGAGAAGGGATGGTTTAATAAAGGAATCTAACGATGAAAAGTACATCGTCGATTCGAAGCGTCGATTCACGGTGAGGAAGTACGTTTCTCTTACCTGAATCCGATCCGCTCACTTTACGATCGCTGCACTTTCATACATCATTCTGTTAATGTGAACCAATTTATATGTAGTTACACATAGTAGTTATTTTACGATTTCGGTATTTTATCTGACACGAGAGAAACGAAGATGCGAAATATATAGATATCCCGAGATCGGACGTGAAACGAACTTGGCCTGAAATATAAAATCCCAAGTTCCTCTCCGATGTGACAGAGGAAGAGCTCGTTAATTCTACTATTTTTCTGTTTATTTTTCTTCTTTTCTTCTATTTTCTTCTCTTGTTTCGTTTCGTTGAGTTCAATCACCCGCACTGGATTCACTAAACCTTGTCGATTTTTACCACCCGCTTCCATGAGACTGTGTCTCGTTACACAAAACACAGACGGTCAGTTATCGATTTAAATTACAAAAATTCCTAGCTATATGTAGAATATCTTGGAACACGTTACGCTCGGCCTGCAAAACATCCAGCCGCGTCTTCCGGTTTCACTTTACCTGGCCGCTGCAATCGCAGCGTGAACTTTTAATTAATGCCCGGCAAACCGAGAAAAAAAGCACCTTCTACTTTTCTCCTTTAGATCACACGCCTATCAACCGTTCCAATACTATCTATCATCCAGGGTCGATTGATTCTAACAAATGCAAATAAATAACGAATCTATCGATTTTATTTGAACGTCAATTCTACTAAGAACTCGAATAACTGACCCAAATTGAAAATCATCGCTGGATGAAATATTAATCGGAGGCTGGAGTTGAATCCATTTAAAGTCTCGAACGGGGCCAAGAGGAAAGAGTCTCTCGAAGAACGAGGAAGAAGCCAAAGGAGAGGAGAGACGCCGCATACGTGGCGCGTATGTCCGTGTGCAAGGCAACGAACGCAGCAAGCAATCCTCCGCCTTCGTTTCACAGACATACACGCCGCTTGCACGTGTATCATCGTGCCGGTTAGGCCAGACGCACGAATCTTCCCGAAACTGGCGTGCCGCCAGGTCGACGGTGAGCAACTGTGAAAAGGCGCGAAATTTCTAAAAATAACCAGGAGGAGCCACCTAAACTCTAAACTAACTATAGAAGGAACACCGAGGGTCGCGAGTCGAGAGAACCACTTCCCCTTTGGTCTCGTCTCTTTTCCACTGGAATAGCACCCGACATCATACTCGTCGACCCACGTGCCACCTATTTCTGTTTCACTTTGATTTACATTCCTTTTACCCGCTCTTCTCTATTTTCTCCATTCTTATCGAAGAACATTTATAGTTTGCATCTAATAATAGCGACGATAATTACATAAATTTATTAATAATTTGCATGTAACTTGAAAATGGTAAAGTCACTATAATGAAAGACTATAATTAAACAATTTTTTAGAAAGTGAGATCGATTAGTTTTATTTCTGTGAGTGACTCATACGTTGCAATATATCGCGCCGAAATAAACGCCACTTCCATTGTACAGATAATTTATACGAAATTCGTGCGCAAATCAAGGCGTTAATGTTTCTCAGCGAGGAAGGAAGTGCCTCGTATTTCGTTCTTCTGTCGCATGACCCAGCAGTCGAAAAGTCGAGACCATCGAATCGCTAATTGAACAAGGTTGATCGATATATTTTACGAAAAAGACCGTGAATCGTAGCCAGAATACAGGAATTATGTTAATATTGCATTAATACGAGTCTTTAATGGAGAACGAGAATTTTAACGTTCGCTCGAATTGTGTTTGGTTACGTTTTCCTTATCGAACTGGTCATTTTCATTCGACAGTTCATGAATAGTTAATTGCTGTGACAAAATAAATGGTTAAATGCATTATAAGATTTGCGTCTTGCTAGATCAATTTCTGTGATTGAGTTTAATTTAATATTGAAAAGAATTAAATATAGATCATAGAGCTATCCAGTTACCGCACGTTACATGTCTGATGCGCCAATTTTGCATCACACATTAACATGAAATATGTACATGTGACGCACTATGAAAGACTCCCAGGCTTGACTATTTAGCATATTTGAATAGCAAGTGAAACTACGATCAAGCTTCAAAAATAATGACATTTATCAGTAAAAAAATATTCTTAAAACAGAACCGACTATTTAAAGATTTATGAAATATCGTCTATCAATGAACCCTTAGAGTGCTGAACATTCGCGGCCTATGCGGTCCGCACGGACGGCGCGCGGCCAGCGCTGACGGTCGCTGTGGACGGAGTACTTTTTCGCTAGACTGAACTCTGTCGATTAACTATTCAAAGCGCAAATCGTAATAAGTTATAGTAATTCTTTTGCACGAGAGAGTTAATAATTCAGTTGCGTGCGAAAAATTTCAAAGCAATTATCGATACATAATCCGATATCGCATTTTCTACATTCGTATCGCGTGTCGCTCCTTCTCTTATTTTTCACACAAACACATTTTCTTCTTGATAATTGTGTTGTGCCGGCACGATTAGGGCATTTTGATGAAAAAAGCCTATCGATTAAACAAAGTGGTAAATCCTCAGACTTTCTTTTTCCTCCTCCTAACATGCTTCTACGTTGGAAATATTTTCGTAAAATGTCTCGTATCAACGCTAAATGAAATTCATTAAATTTTTTTTTCGAAGCAGTAGATTTTTGATATAAAATATATGCATCATATATAAGGAATGCATTTATATTTATCTCACACAAACGTAACAGTATTACTTCTGCGTAGGTGT